CTAAAACTAAAAACAAACTAAAAACTACTTCCACAAACATTCAGCTTTGATATTAATGAGTTTTTTGGGTTCATTGAGAACATGGTTGTTGTTCAATAATAACATTATTCCTCAAAAATACAACTTGCCTAATAATTCTGCACTCCCTGTATAGTACTGTGCAAAACCCCTAGTTTCTTCACGTTTTGCTTCCATCGAGCCAGACTTTCATGTGATTTTTAAAGTGGTCTTGAACAATGGTTCTCTGGGCTTTTTCAAGGTCTTCTGAACCTTTTCTTTGGAAATTTTTTGGACTGCTTTTTTTATTCATATGTTCCGCTGTGCGTCCTTAAAGGTCAAGCACATAAGAAGCAACACCTGAAAGTCATGTCCCTAAGAATTAGAAAAAGAATCCACCAAAGATCTCGCACAGAGATGCTTCTGCCCCCATTAGTTTGTCCATCAAATTAGACAAGAGCTGAACTGGTGATTGAAATTTTAGGTTCAAACCAGGAGAGAGTTATAGCAATGAGTGAGCAAGTGAGCAAATTAATGTATAAATGTAAATTTATTAGATTACTTCAATTAGTAAATTGCGCTTTGCTGTTTTTTGACACTTTTAATCCTTAATGCCACATTTGGTTCTTTGTTTATCAGTCATGTTAACTCATGTTTGGAGCAGTACTTACGCGAGGCTGAATTCACACTGTTCTCTGTGAGGAGCACTGACTGGTCATCAGCAGATGAGCTGATGTCAGGGCCCAGAACATGTAGAGCATGCTCTTTAAGCTGTTTTAACCTTCAAACAGCTTAAACAGGTTCTGCATATCTGCAAGGTACTTTGCAAACTGCCTCCACCCTGGCACCTACATTCATATTATACCTGACTTGATATATCTGACTATCAGCGTCATATCTGTTGTCACTGATGCCTGCTGTCTTCTGTGATACTTCTTCCCACCAGTGGCTTTCCATGTATGTTAAACAGAAGATCATACGGCCTGATATCACTCACTGCAGATCAGAAAAATCTTTTGACTGTTGTGGTCCTGACTAAAGTACCTTCTATTAGGTGGTCTATCGGGTAAAGTTGGTCTCTAATACTTTTAGTGTCACTGGAGTCTTCACGTCATCAGATCTTTGTCTTCTCCATGCACCTTGGAAGTGGGTGCCAGAAAAAAAATGTTGCTAAAGTATGTTTTATGACATCATTGCTGCTTTAAAAGAATTGCAGTTTTTATTTTCCTCTTTTTTCCATTGCAAACTAGGTTACTTCGTTATCCAAAGTTTGGACACGCTTGTCACTTCTAAATACGTGACCTGTCTAATTTAATGGGTTTTTTTTAATAGCAGAGAGAAATAAGATAAGCCTGGAAATAGGGCTGGGCCATATCATATCGTTCACGGTAATACCGGTATAATGTTGGGCAACGATAAGAAAATGAAATATCGCGATAGAATATGGGTAAGTGCCTTTGTTTTCATACTCACATGGCGGAAAAAGCATGTCGGCGACAGAGAATTAGAAGCGCGAAAGCGGATCGTTGAATGAAACGGATGAATTGGTTTGTAAAATGCGGCAACTTCAGTGGTGTGGAACTTGTTTAGCTTTCGTCCGTCAGATACACAACAAAGCTAGCGGGCAGTCGTTATTACCGCGTTTTTTTGGAAAATACTAAAAATCAATCCTTTGATTTTTCTGAAAATCGACAGTGCCCCTTATGTATGAATTCTGGTTGTGTTTACTGACCTCGAAACAATTTTATGTGGTACACGGCACTCGAAAATCTGTCAAATGTTTCAGTACGACTTAGCTAAGCTACAAACCTTGATGGAGCATTACGGCTATCGTAGACAGTAGCCTCGCGGAGTGATACGTACTGTGCTTCAACGTAATATTACCGTATTGTGTGTGTATAACCTCTTTTTAAGTTTTGTGGATATTATACATGGTTATGGATATGTCGGCCAATCAATTTCCACTGCATATGCTTTTTGGTTAAACTGTCAGCAAGGAATTTGCATTTGCACTGTTAATTTTTTATATTATATAACTTTAATGCACATAAAAAAACAGCTGCTTGTTTAAGTGAAAATACATTGATGTTTTATTTGGTTTTTGTAGTTGTTGTATTTTGTCTAGTCAGTTATATCGTCAGTTATATCGTTATCGCAAATTTTCAAATGTGTATATCGTGATAAATATTTTTGGTCATATCGCCCTGCTCTACCTGGAAATATACTGATCTTGACTTATTTATAGATTTATCTTTATTGCCTGTTTTACTATTTTAGGAGCTGCTCCATTATTAATTTTTTTTATATATGAAATGATTTAATATAGTCTTATATGGTATTCCAATGTTTAATGCAATCAGGGTCATTTTTCTTATTCTTAGGATGAATTCTCTCTCACAGTGATCACTGGGTCATAACCCACACAAGCTAATACACACATATTTGAGCAAATTTCTGGTTTCATGTCAGCTTGTACGCTGGATTAAACTCACATGTAGAGAAATGTGCATACTGTTGGAGGTTACTGCAGCACTCTCTGACTAAATGCTGAAAAAAAAATTTCACCTACATAAGATTAAGTGACAGACAGATATTTTGACGTATATCTGTCCGTCTTCTCTGAATTCCAACTCAAATTCAGAGAAGCCGCTTGTAATTTTTTTTGTTTTTGTTTGATGAACTCACTCTGCCTGCTTTCATCTTTTTATTTCTTCAGTCTCAGGATGAATGTTCTCTCTGATTAAGGCTGCAGGCCAAAGCGCACGTTCAACCTGACAACTCAGTCTCCAGAAGTGCACATAAAGCTCCAACATCTTGTTTGAGTAGAATGTCAGCCATAAAAATGATCAACCTCTGATGTGTTCATGTGAAAGATCACCAGGAGGACGATAACAGCCCTGTAATACTCTGAAGCTATTTTGCAGGAGAGATTTTTTCCATCATTAACTTGCATATTACAGACTTCCTGTACATATATGTTTAGGTTTTATAGCACTGCCACATTGTTCATTTTGCAGTAAGAGACAGCCTCGGTATGAATTATGAATGTAGCCATTTCTGTAGTCTAAGTGATTTGGAGCACTGAGCAGCAGTTATAGCTCAGTGCTGACGGCTGTGTAATGCAGACATGCAGGTGGTATATACAGTAGTGCTGCAAACAATATGGCTCCTCTCTGGGGACTGTGGGTCCTTCACCCCACCTCTACAAGATTAAAACAATAGACAAACACCTCTGACAAGGCCCGACACATCCTACGTGACAAATTAGTGATGCAGGCGTGGGTACACAGGGTTATGTCAGTGTGAAAGTATAACATTAAGTTGACGACAGAAACATTGCACAACCCATCTCTCTCTGAATAATTCAATTGAGCTGCATTGCCTTTAATAACTGTTGCTGAGTGACTTTCCCCAAGGCCCAAACACCCACCTTCCTCCCAGTGTAATCTGTCCTCCCAGTACTCCCACTCCTGCCCTCCTTCACCCCTTTATCATACGGAATTTTTAAGAAAGATGACATTATAGGCGAACCTGTATTTTAGGTGAAGGTCTGCAGCTGCAGAACTAATTATTAAGAATTCATAATTTATCAATTCGTCATCCCAGCTGTGATGATGCCTCAAGGCAGTTAATATGAAGGTTTGAGCGATCACAAGAGTTTCTATTCATGAGTCGGGGGCCTGTGCTCTCGGTACGAAGGAAAGAAAGAGAAAATTTTAGTCCGAGTTTAGGGTGAAGCATAGCATTCAGTACGTTGATGAGTTTGACTTTCTATCAGCAGTGCTCACATGGAGGGGTTACTTTGTTCTTTACACTCATCATGTGCTTTCTGTAGAGATGTAATTATACAAACACAAACAGTTTTGTGTTACAGGCTTCAAGGGGATCCAAATTGGATTTCCTGATAGCTCTCAACCGGTATGGCTTTAAACTTATCAGATAAACATGAGTGAATATGCAGCTGACACAAAAAAGCAGAGGCTTATGTAGGCTTCAAACGGTCTCTTGGGATATTGTATGGTTTATTATGGTATTTGTGAGCTTATTGTTTCTGATTCTTCCTCCATGTGTAGTGTTGCAGAATGACCGAGACGTTCACATTTTCTCTGTTTCCTGATATGAGCGTTTTTTTGGGGTTTTTTTTCTTCAGGTCCGGAATCTGACTCTAGCTTTCCAGGCAGCTGAGAGCATTGGCATCAAACCCTCCCTGGTGAGTTAAACCACACCAGACCTCACACAAACACAAACACACTTGGAAAACACAGAGCTTTTGATTAGACAAACTGGAAACAGACCACTTTGATTTGCTAAACTTTTAAGATATGAAACTTCAGAACAGAGATTGGCCCAGAAGTGTGTTCCAGTACTCTTCCTTGGAAATAATCTTTTCTTATATGGGGAAAACAAATCGTTATCGGCTCTTTTGCTCCACTGAAATATTTAGACTTTGTGAAAAAAATTGCCCTTCAGTGTTTGTCAAGTTATAAACAAAGCTGCTCGTATTTATTTTAAGGAACACGGGACTATCAGCTTCTGGTAACAAAGCTAGTATAAATTGTTCAAAAACAGATACTTCAACATTTTTTTTATTTATTTGTTTGTTTATTTTTTGGCCCTTAGGTCCCCAGTTTCAAACCTAAGGGCTAAACTATCTGGGACATATCTTGTCTCTCATCCTGTGACAGCTAGGTCAGGCTTCAGTAACCCCACGACCTTAAGCTGGATAAGCAGTGAAGAAAACAAATAACTGGAATTTTGGCTTAGTTTGAGTTGGATACCAAAGTGTGTTTTGTTCTTTCAGCAGTAGAAAGATAGTGGCACAGTGGTTAGCACTCATATCTCACAGCAACAAACTTTGGGTGTTTTTTATGGGTCCACTGCGGAGGCCTGTTGCCTGATAAGGTTGCGTGCATGGTCTACAAACAATGTTTAGAGGGGTGGTACGTGTCAAAAGAACTTCCACATGAAGGTTAGCAGCCAAGGTTGTCTGCAGCTAGATGATGGATGGTTAGTTGTTACCTGTCAGTGCTGTTAGTGTTGTGGTTGATTGGTACAGATAGACTGAACACCTTCAGTTATGAAACAAAGTGGTGACGTGAATGCCAAAATCATCAGTTTCCTGCTCTCTGCTGCCTGTCATTATATAGGAAATACTGAGTGGTTAGTCAAAGGAGTGATCACACACACATTTTAACAGCAAGTGTGTTGACCTATTTTTTAAGAACATTTTAGGCTTCTCTAAAAATTTGATATTAATAACAAGACAAGAAACGGTATAAGTTAAAACTAAGAAAGAAATCGTAGTTTGTATTTTTTGATTGAGAAATAATATGACTCATAAACTATTGCTTATCTTTCTCAGAATATTGACTACAATGGTTTGACTAAATTTTTGTTGCTGCAGTAGTGTGGACAAAGTGTGTGGTATATCTTTGCTTACGTAGCCTTAACCGCACTAATGCCCACACAGTGGGTTTGCTTTTTCAGTTTAGTTCTTATTGTTTAAAACAACTTAGTTTTCAGTAGTAGTCCAAGGCACCCCAGCCATCCATCATGGCCCAAAGACATGCACGTCAGGTGGATTGGTGACTCTAAACTGGCCCTAGGTTTAGAGTCACCATCAGCTGTGAATGTGAGCGTGAATGGTTCCCTGTCTCTCTTAGGGAGCATTGACCTTTGACCTAAACCAACAGTGGCCATGAACACAACAGCCTGACTGCACCAGGACAACATAGCTCATTACTACAACCCCATTTCAAAAAATGCTGTAACACTGTGTAAAATCTAAATAAAATGATGTATCAAATTGCCCATCTGCCGGCCTCTATTTCCAGATGTTTACAGTAGAGATGGCACGATACCACTTTTTTATGTCCGATACCGATACCGATATCATAAATTTGGATATCTGCCGATACCGATATGAATC